TAGGCACCAGACGAAGAAAAATAAATAAATAAATAAATAAATAAAAAGAAAGACAGTAGTATGTGTGTGTGTTTGTGGTTTTGTGTTCGTGTTTTCATGTCTTTTATTTTGTAGTTTGGTTTCTGTTTCCATGTATTGCTCTTGCCATGGGCTCTTCCTTTTTAAGTGTCACGTTCTGACCGCTGTCTATTAGTATAGTTTATGTTTTTGTTCATGTTATGTTTCAAATCATGTTTGTTTCATGTTTTTTGTTTAAATTCACTTTTGGATTTAAATAAACTGCACTTGGGATCTTCAAATTGCCTTTAGCAGACTTTATTACAGTGTGTGTGTGTGTGTGTGTGTGTGTGTGTGTGTGTGTGTGTGTGTGTGTGTGTGTGTGTGTGTGAGATGTGTTACCCTTCACAGCACACTCCCTCTGGGATCCCAGAGTCCATTTACAAACCCTCTTCAAAAAATAGCTCACACACACACATTATCACTCTCTGAATGTGTGTGCACACACATGGCTGCTCGAGTACCATGTGTTTAAATATGTGCACAAATGTATGTAGCTGCCAAAAGTCCCTTTGCTCTCATGTACGAAGCATGAGTTGTTCATCTGTCCAGGGTCCATTTGTCATGAAAAGAGGCCAATTCGTCATTTTGTCATGCCAATTCACTTGTTGAAGTAGGTTTTGATTGCTTGCATTTAAAACCAGCTACATACTGTATCCTAGTCCAATCCAATCATTCTAAAAATGCTTTTTTTTTTCTTTTTTTGCAAGGATGCATTTAGTTGATCAAAAGTGACAGTAAATAAGACATTTATTATAGTGTTACAAAAGATTTGAATGCTGTTCGTTTGAACTTTCTATTCATCAAATGGAATAACAAATGTATTACACTAAGCACAACTGTTTTCAACATTAATAATAATCAGAAATGTTTCTTGAGCAGCAAATCAGCATATTAGAATGACTGCTGAAGGATCGTGTGACAATGAAGACTGGAGTAACTATGCTGAAAAGCTTTGATCAAAGGAATAATTTATATTGTAATATATATATACACTGAACAATAATATAAACGCAACACTTGTTTTTGCCCCCATTTTTCATAAGCTGAACTCAAAGACCTAAGACTTTTTATATATACACAAAATGCTCATTTCTCTCAAATATTGTTAACAAATCTGTCTAAATCTGTGTTAGTGAGCACTTCTCCTTTGCCGAGACAATCCATTTACCTCACAGGTGTGGCATATCAAGATGCTGACTAGACAGCACGATTATTAGTGACTAGACATGATATTTAGAGTGGCCTTTTACTGGCCACAATAAAAGGCCACTCTAAAATGTGCAGTTTTATCACACAGCACAATGCACAGTTTCTATCTTTTTTTTAAAAAACAACAAAAAAACGGTAACTTAAAAATTTAGTAGCCAAATTGGCCGTTGAGTGAAAAAGTTCATTTCAAACCATGTTATATATATATATATATATATATATATACCTGTTCAATTTCTCATTAATACAATTATCTAATCAACCAATCACATGACAGTTGCTTCAATGCATTTAGGGGTGTGGTCCTGATCAACACAATCTCCTGAACTCCAAACTGAATGTCAGAATGGGAAAGAAAGGTGATTTAAGCAATTTTGAGCGTGGCATGATTGCTGAGTATTTCACAATTTGATCAGTTACTGGGATGTTTACGTACTAGAGTTTACAAAGAATGGTGTGAAAAGGGAAAAACATCCAGTATGCGGCAGTCCTGTGGACGAAAATGCCTTGTTGATGCTAGAGGTCAGAGGAGAATGGGCCGACTGATTCAAGCTGATAGAAGAGCAACTTTGACTGAAATAACCACTCGTTACAACCGAGGTGTGCAGCAAAGCATTTGTGAAGGCACAACACGCACAACCTTGAGGCGAATGGGCTACAACAGCAGAAGACCCCACCGGGTACCACTCATCTCCACTACAAATAGGACAAAGATGCAACAATTTGCAAGAGCTCACCAAAATTGGACAATTGAAGACTGGAAAAATGTTGCCTGGTCTGACGAGTCTCGATTTCTTTGAGACATTCAGATGGTAGAGTCAGAATTTGGCGTTTACAGAATGAGAACATGGATTCATCATGCCTTGTTACCACTGTGCAGGCTGGTGGTGGTGGTGGTGTAATGATGTAGGGGATTAATGGTGTTTTCTTGGCACACCACTCAGTGCCAATTGGGCATCGTTTAAGTGCCACGGCCTACCTGATCATTGTTTCTGACCATGTCCATCCCTTTATGGCCATCATGTCCCCATCCTCTGATGGCTACTTCCAGCAGGATAATGCACCATGTCACAAAGCTTGAATCATTTCAAATTGGTTTCTTGGACATGACAATGAGTTCACTGTAATAAAATGGCCCCCACAGTCACCAGATCTCAACCCAATAGAGCATCTCTGGGATGTGGTGGAACGGGAGCTTCGTGCCCTGGATGTGCATCCCACAAATCAAAAAAGATGCTATCCTGTCAATATGGGCCAATATTTCTAAAGAATGCTTTCAGCACCTTGTTGAATCAATGCCATGTGGAATTAAGGCAGTTCTGAAGGCGAACGGGGGTCAAACACAGTGTTAGTATGGTGTTCCTAATAATCAACTAAGTGAGTGTATATATACAGTATATATATATAAGAAAAAAAATCTTTCATAAAAAATGTACTTTCATAAAAAATATGAATTATTTCAAACTAATAAATGTATTGCTTATTCAGAAAATATAAGTAGCTCAGTATAAAAATAAAAGTGAATAGAAAGTGGTGACTATAATAGTCGAAGAAATGTGAGCACATGCTATTCTCCTTCCACATGTCCTGTTCATTGATTCCTCTCTTTCTTCCCTAAAACGCCTCCTCAAACCCTCACATAAACATGCTGTTCTCATTATCATCTGTTTAAAACCCTTTCAATGCCCTAAAAGAGACAGTCAGACATCTACACCTGCTGCTTATATCTCTCTAGTTCTCTCTCTTTCTGTGTGTCACCTTTTCACCCTCTCAAGATGGAGCGGTGTGAATTAAAAACCAGGCAAACAAAGAAGCCCATTAAATTATGTTTGGAGAACTACGAAAGCACATACTAAATGACGTACAGAAAGGATTGGTCCTCGTGTGAGAGTCTTTTGGGAATACAGCGGGAATATATGCACATGAACACACACACGTTGAGTAGTATGATAATGTGATAGTCAAGGTCAAGCTCACCTCTATCTCTGCGAAGGAGGGAAAAAATCTTCAAATAACACACTCAACAGCAACAACATTTGCTGGAATCGCCCCATGCTTCATTATCAAACTCATGTTCATATTAACAAGTGCTTTTCATTCTTTGAAATGACTGTGGTCTTTATAGAAGTGCTGCCATGCCGTGTGATAGATAAGATGTTAAACAAATGAAAGGTTATCAGCGAAAAACGCATGCCGAGCCAATGAATTTAAATACATCTAATTATTCTACACCACAACACTGCATATAATTATAACATTATTTTATAAAGTGCATTTACAAAGTGCAGAAAAACATCAAAAATAACCACAAATAAAATAAAGCGTCCATAAAGCCATCCTGAAAGAAAAAGTGAAGTTAAGATGGGATTTAAAAATGGGATTTTGTGAAGAACGCAAATTACGCCTGCATTTAAGGAATTAAAAGGTCCGCTAAATACTAGGGAGCTAAATCGTAAAGTCCTTCATAGGTTAACATGAGGATTTTAAAAATCGACTCGGTACCTGACCATGTGATCACCTACAGTACCTTAGCCCCACTTAGTCTTTCATAGGTAGTAAAGAACAATACTGGACATAAACGTGTAATATTTCTGATCTGAGATGAAAGTAGGATGTCTTAACAACACTGTACTTAGGGTTCGAACATTCAACATGAGTCAAAAATGACTCTAAACTTATCTTGCGGCTAAGTTTAAGGTTCCAAGATTTTTCTCCATATAATGGACTGCAATGGGAACCAAACGGTTAAGGTCCAAGTGAGAGTTTCAGTGCAGCTTCAAAGGGCTTTAAACGACACCAGACGATGAATACGTTTTTTATCAAGCGAAACGATCACTCATTTAAAAAAAAAAATAACAAAGTTTAAGTTTTATAAGCTCAAATGCTCGCCTTGCTCTGTTCTGTGATGCACGTTTGTGACTCTCCTATTCGAACTCGTTCATCAAAATCATCATCATTTGCTTCATTCAATGAACGAAATGAACTAGTTGACTTGGGAAAAGATTTGTTCATTTTGATAAACGAGTTCGGACAGGAGAGTCACGGACGCTCATCACAGAACAGAGCAAGGCAAGCATTTGTGCTCATAAAACTTAAACTTTGTTTGTTTGTTTTTTTTTTTTTGTTTTTTAAATGACTTGATAAGACCCTTATTCATGGTCTGAAGTGGCACTGAAACTCTCATTTGGACCTTGAACCGTTTGGTCCCCATTGAAGTCCATTATATGGAGAAAAATCCTGGAATGTTTTCATCACAAACCTTAATTTCTTTTCGACTGAAGAAAGAATGACATGGACATCTTGGATGAAATGGGGGTGAGTAAATTATCAGCAAAAGTTTTTTTTAAAAGTGAACTACTCCTTTAAGCAGCACAACTGTTTTATACACTGATAATAATCAGAAATATTTCTTTAGCATCAAATCATCATGTTAGAATGATTTCTGAAGGATCACGTGACACTGAAGACTGGAGTAATGATGCTGAAAATTCAGCTTTGCGTCATGGAAATAAATTACATTTAAAATATAATAACATTCAAACCAGTTATTTTAAATTGTAATACTTTTTCACAATATTACTGTTTTTACAGTATTTTTTTATCACATAAATGCAGCCTCGGTGAGCAGAAGAGACTTCTTTCAAAAAATCTGTGACCAGTTTTTGTGTTGGGTGTAACCTCTTATATGATACGACACAATTAAAAAAATAAAAACTTTTAGTTGTACTCACTTTTGGAAACTGTTTTACAGGAATCAAAATCTTCTGTCCCAGTTTCATGTTCTTGTTGATGACCACGTCGATGAACTTCTCATCCTCTTTGTCTTCATCTTTCTGAATCTTTTCAATTTCTGTTGAGAGAGAAAGACAGGGAGAGTTAGTCAAATCGTTATATAGGTAAAATGAATGTTTATCATAGTGAATCTCAGGTTCAGAGATAAGCCCAGATAAAAGTCTTGCCATTTGCCCGATGTCATTTGTACCAAGCGTATTTTGACTGATCAGTGGACTGTGAAATAGCTTCCATTGGCCATGCTGTAATTCGATTGGATATGCTTATAATCATATCTGATAGAAATTTCTCTGTGATTGGAGGATATTTCTGTCTTTGTGGCAAGTGACATCTGATTAGACATTAAAGTGTGTAAATGAGCTCTTCGAGGACGCACAGAAGTCTTTGTTGTGGGACACAGTGGGGTGCTAATATATTAGTCACATTAATGAGTTATTGTGTGTGGGTCATTGTATCACTGTGGGTACTCATAATACATTGCATTGAGACATTGAGACAAGCAGATTGGAAAATCAAAACGTCCATCAAACATAAAACATCAAACTTTAAATTTGAGTTCACTTGATCAGGACAGCACAATGATTAAATTGCTCAATCAACTGCAAGATTTATCTTGTGCAAACAAACAGCCAGAAACAATCTTGCTCATCCTATTTTTAACCATGATTCTCAGAACAGTTTTAATGTTTAAGTGGAAATACTCTATGGCTGACCTGATTTATGGATCAGAACATATTGTTCACAAATATTAATCAAAAAAGTAAAAAAATAATTAAGCAAACCTTAAAAAGGTCCTCTCAAGTTGGCACAATACAACTCAATTCTCATCCCATTGCAATATAACAATGTTTCTATATCAAAAGCTTGGCTTATGAATATTAATACGTTTCTGTAACAATTACTAATTAATAATTAGATAAGTCATCAAAAGAATTCAACAGTGCCCATCCACTGTATCATCGGCCTTGGTTCAGGAAGTTTTTTTTTCTTTTTTCTTTTCCATGGAAATAAACCATTAAAGGGGATAGTTACTTGGAAATAACGGACCAAAGCGACCGTGCCTTCAGATCACTTGGACGTGGCTGTGGTTACAAGAGATGAAAACAATATAAATACTGTTTGTTTTCTCACACAAACCACTCGTTTCGTGTCTTAGGCCATCAATGTGTACTTACATTTACGAGTCATTAAATCATGTTTAATTTGGACTTCTCTGTGCATGCTCTTTGATGTGGTGACCATAGACCTCCATTATAGACTGACAGACTGACTCCATAGACTGACAGACAAGAACGGTTTGACCTAATAACATCAAAATTGAAACTAACTGTGGAAACAAAGACACCTACATCTTGGAAGCTCTTGAGGTAAGCTAAAACGTATCAACAATTAATTTCAAAGTGAACTATCCCTTTAACTAAACCAAATGGTGAATTGTTACAGTATGTTATAAACTTTGATTTGAAGCAAAAAAAGTATTTGAAAACTTTACAAAAGCCAAAGGTACAAGACATGTGTACAAACAATGAAGTATTTCAACGGAATTAGCATTACAGAATTACATAATCAAATTAAACACAGTGGAGAATTTCAAAACTATTGATTTACAGAAAATGTAGTCTAAACCAAAAAGTAATACCCGTAGGCATGACGTATAAGATTTGTGGTTATTCTTTTTTACCATATTTACTAAACAGAGCAAAATAGTGCGTGACTGCAATTCCAAAAAACTTGGATGGGTGTGGAAGGTTCTGCACGTGATTTACTGACGACACACAAATAAAAGAACACAGAAACAGCCGAATCATTTCCATAATGACCAAGAGCAGCCCAAATTTGCGTCTGGTTTAAGACATGCTTTTTAAAAAAAAATGGGGTAGATAATGGCGCAAATACCCGTAAATTGCCTAGCGCAAACCTTAGTAAATTCATTTAAATACTGTCCGATAAATTTAGCATAAATGCATATGCAATGAGGTCAGCTTGAAAAATATCTCTCCACACCTTTTCAGCGCAAATTTTTCACTATCTTTAGTAAATCCTGACAGTATTTTTATTAACACCAAAAGAGGGTTTGCACTGGCGCAAGCTGTTATACTATACTAGCTAAATCTAGTATAGAAGTCTTAAGTCAAGTCTCACGGGAGGCACACCAAGAAACATGGTACCCCACGTTGGGCGCCATGTTACCGGGTGAGTATTGTATTCTTTAGGCTAGATTTGGCTATCCTTTTCCTACCTGAATTTTTTTTTTTTTGATTTAGATAAAAGGGTGTAAGATAAAAAAAGACACTCCAAGTAACAATATAGGGAGTCTATTATGTCACTTTTATTGACTTGCCGAATCGAGTCAAATTCAGTTTCTTCCCAAAATGTATCCAGTAAACCCTGACCATTAACTCTTAATGATATTTAGAGCACTTTAAAACATTTAAATTATGAAAAGCATTTTTAATGTTCTTTTCTAAAATCTGTCATCTTGTGACGGTTATTGCGCTTTAATATTCAACCCTCTTTTCCATTATTTGTGCTTTGGTGTGGATAGTTTATGCAAAATTAAGACAACCTCCAATCCCTCGACTAATCAGGAAAGGATTTCTATTCAAACTGTTATGGAGAGTCATCACTTTTTACTTTAAAAAAAAAACAAACTTTTGCTGATAATTTACTCACTCCCATATCATCCAAGATGTCTACATCTTTCTTTCTTCAGTTGGAAAGAAATTAAGATTTTTGATGAAAACATTCCAGGATTTTCTCCATATAATGGACTTCATTGGGAACCAAACGGTTCAATGTCCAAATGAGAGTTTCAGTGCAGCTTCAAAGGGATTTAAAAGATACCAGACGATGTTTTGACGTCCTGTTACAAAAGCATGTGAAAAAAACAAAACAAAATTTGCTAGGCCAAAAAGCGTTAATCGCACGATAAAAAAATTGACGCCGTTAAAATGGGTTTGCGTTAACGCTGTTAATAACACGTTTAACTTGTTATACAGATCAAATTAGTGTATATGTATAGCTATGCCCAGAGCTGGTAAGAGAACAAATGTTGCCTTCTTCAGTCAGGTCCACAGAGACAGAGGATTCAGTGAGCTGTGGTTCATCTCATTGTTTCATGTCATTATTCCTGTAGTCGTGGGGCACAAAACACACCCGAGAGAATACTTGAAAAATATAAATTTCCCTCCTTCAACAACCAGCAGCCTTTACAGCAGAATCATCTCCATTCAGAAGAGTGTGACCTACTAACCAATCTAAGCTCTGGAACAATAACATAGGATCATAGACCATACTGTAGCACTTTAAATTAGTATATTGGAAAATTATTGAACTCATATATAAATAAAAAAGTTTAGTGCACCTGTTTAAACTAGATTGTGGGTGGTTGGTGAATAAGATTCTGGGGATTGCGATGAAATCCAAAGTTATGAAGTGGCGTAACTTTTATTGTTTTGAGAAGACCTTTTGTCTTTAGCGTGTCAGGATACCGTAATCTAATTTCCATCCAAAGCTTCCAGTCTTTTGAAATACATGTAGGGCAGTGTCAATCCGAGCTCAGGTGGGGCAAAATCAATAGTACAAAGAAAAGAAATTTGGGCATTTCAATATAAAATTCAGAAACTGGTATGATTTGTAGGATTATGGAGGACTCCCTCTTAAGACTCCAACAGAGGACAGCCAGAAAACGCTCCATTAACTCCTCAAATTACACAAGAAGGGGCAGAAAGAGGAGACTGGCAAAAAGATTTCAAAGAGAAGCTCTTGGAGATTTGAAAAAGCTCAGTTATCCATGAATCTAAGCAAGATGAATTAAGAATATACAGACAATAAATGATTAAACTCTTCTAAAGGTAGCATGTGTTACATATAAATTACAAAAATGTATATGTTAAACGTTTTTTTTACACATAATATATAGCATGCGGAAATTAAAGGTACAATATGCAAGATTGTTTCGCCACCAGGGGTCGCTAACCTCTTACAATAACAAAGGCGTATATTAATGATGTATATTCCATATTAAGCGGAATTATGGATCTTGTCGTCAAGCTGATGGATCTTTTATGGATGAGTGAATACATTGATGTTTTTAAACTTGACTGTACTATGAAGCAGGGCGCGATTGCTAGACGTATACCAGCGCCACACGCAACGCGAGTCCCGCGGATATAAAGAAATAAGGACATTTAATTCTACCGAACTACACGCTGAATTACTCACACAGGTCAGTTTATTAGAGGAATTAAACTTGAGGTAACCCAGCGCTGCTTCACTTGCTTTGAGTGTGTTGAATGTTAGGTTGTTTGTTGCCTGTATGAGACTAAGCTAGATTAACATACAGATCATATTCTAACTTTTCATCATGTTGAACTAACATTGATTAGTTTTATATACGTTAATTTGCTAACCTGTTTGCTCAAGTAACGTGCAACACTCGCGTCTCGAAGTCGAAGTTAGTCGCGGACGTGGAGCTCTCGGCATCTGGAAAGATGTTGATCTTTGTTTTAGTCCTCTTTTTTCCATGTTTGAACCAAACCCTGCTAGGGACGCTCACACTGTTGAGCTCGCATAACTGGCATAACCGACACAGTTGTAAATGTCTGACGCCATGGTTACTAGTGCAGTACGAGGTCAAACCTGGTGGAAACCGGGGGTAACGCGGATATGACCTCATTGACTGGCGACTGCCCCGTTTCCTTGGTTAAAAATCACAATTTTCTCACGAATTACAAATAGTTGGAAAAATTTCGGATATTGTAAGTAATCAATTAAATAAAATATATAACATTGGCCTAGTGGTTTTTAGATATTTTACTGCAAAAAATCCTGCATAGTGTACCTTTAATTTGCTGTTCTATCGCTTATTGAAACAAAGGCTTCTTTTAAAAAAAGGACTGATGGTTACTGTGAAAAAAAGCTTGAACAAACATTCTCAGAGGTTTGGAGTGCAAAGCAATACTTCTCATGACGAAAGATGTGTCAAACATCCAAACTAATACTGGTCATACTTGACAGAACAACTGACAAATGTTGAACATTACACGCTCAAGTACAGACATTTCTCCACCCTTCTCTCTTCTCTGTGTTTTCTTTTCCATTCATTTACGGGTTTTGTAGTCTTGCCCTGAAGAAAACCAAACAGAGCACGAACCAAATGTGAACCTTTGTGATGGCAAACAATGTCAAAGTGCATAGAATTTGGTGTCAAACTGTGGCATTCAGCTGGTATATTCAGCCCGTGTTGCATTAAAGCTCACAAACAAAGTCTTGTGCTTCTTGAAATTGAAACCAACCACAGAGTGCTTTTGGATTTAACCAGGTGAAACAAAAAAGGCTGCTTCTTTAAGAATTATAAGCCATTAGGTGCTCCCACCTACTCCGGTGAGGGACTATTCTGGTTTCTAAATAGAGATGTGAGCTCAAATCCCATATCTAAAAATTGGCACAGAGTGGTGGTTAAAGAGCTTGGCTTGTAACAAAAAAAACTTTAGATTAAAACCCTGCAAGGTGCAAGCTATAGACTCACATCATTATATTAATTAATTTAGAAGTTTTTATTCAAAGACATATACAAATGAGAATAATGTCAAATATGCAAAAATCTAATTAAAAAAAAACAACAACAAAAAAAACTACTATATTTTATATGATCAATGCAAGTAAAAAGTTTGGTCTCACTTTATATTAAGTGGCTTTAAGTACAATGTTACATTGAAATGACTAATTTGATACAATGAACTTATTGTGTAAATACCTGCATGTAATTACAGATTTAATTAATTTATGTAATTACATGTAGAATTACACTGTTGACCTTTCCCTTACACCTTAACCCACCCTTATATACCCATACCAACACACCCGTATAACATCTCAATAGCAGCAAAATTGTTTTACAATACAAAATGAGCACAATAAGTACATTGTACACTGTAAAAAAATATTTTCATGATTTGTAATCACAAGATTTTTTCTTTTGTCAAATCATAATTTATGTAGTTCAGATAACATAATATTTTGAGTTTCTAGTGATTAAATTAATCTCCTTCATTGTATTAACTCAATTTTTCCATTTCAATTAACTTAAAATTTTAAGGCAACCAGGTTACTTTTTTTTAAGTTAAACCAACAACATTTTTTTACATTGTAAATACATTGTACTTAAAACCACTTAATATAAAGTGGGACCAACATTTTTTTTTTTTTTTTGTAAAACGTTGACAAAGAAGTAATTTTGACATCAACTGCACCATGTACAAGATGATGTTTCTCAAACAGAGAAAGACTCATAAATTTGCTTACATTTTCATTTTGGTGGCAAGAATATTGTACATGGTGCCACCACACAGTCATCCAAGATAAACAGTAGGTTCCCTAAGGTGAAAATTGGTAGAATAAAAATTTAGCCATGTATTATGTTGCAATTATTAACTCATATTTAGCATTTTTTTTTAAGTTGCCAGCCACCACCAGCATTTTTGATAATTAAAAAAAATATAAAAATCATTTCCCCCAAAGTATTTTGTTGTATGAGTTTCTGAACATGCACTATATCAAAATAAAGAACATGCATTCTTTTTTTTATCAACACTTCAATGTGGGTAAGTTTCATTAAAAAAATAAAATAAAAAACAAACATTTTGAGTAAAAAGTTTGAGTAAAAAAATCACATTTTACTCAACATCCAGACTACATCCAGATCGCATTCAGAACAATGATTAAAACACAGACGGAGTAGATCCAATCGATCAACACGCAAAAGCTTGCACAGTCGACATTTCATTCAGTAACATTAAGCAGTTTCAATTTATATGCAGTTTAATGTTGATGTTCGAGTTATTTTACACATGCATGCTTACATATCACTTGTCTCTGCTTCTACTTCATCTGTCTTTTGATCAGGAGATTCAGAAGATGCCTAATAGCGCCCCCCATATATATATAACAGTGAAGAAGCGGAAAGCCATACATTTCTGTGAATGGAAGGAAAGCATTGTCTCATAAATGACAGAAATTTCCGGCAATGGCCGGGAAAGAGTCAAAACCAACTGCCGAGTAACGCCATCCATTTTTTTATGCGCATTTTGCGAGAATGCCAGTATCTCATGCAAGTGACCAGTATCTAAAAGATAACATATTCAAGCCACAACTCAGCTCTGAGAGGAGCGGAAGGCACCTTTA